ATTGAACCAGATGGACGCTTGTTCATTTATTCAAAAATTCAAACTTTTATATAGTACTGCTACACACTCACCCATTTATACACACTTCACCCCATTCAAATCCGAGGTGGAACAAATTCCAACTTCTAACATATATCTTCTACTACTCAAAGTAGATTGGTGAGGATTCCTAAAAAACTAAATGTTTAACCAATTTTAAAAGTAATGACTTCTAAGTTAGTTTTTTTATTTATTTTTTTATTATTATTTTTTTTTCGGAGTAGTTACTCGTATACGGAATTAAATTGTTTTTCACTTGATTGAGTAGTAGTACATTTAAGATGGCAATTTAAACAATCATTTTAATTCAGAGAATTTAATCTTATGTTTTAAAATAGTAGTGTTCATTTACATATAGCTTTCTACATATGCATGCACAGTGTAAAATATTTTGTTATAAAAGAAGAAAATTCAGTGGAGGTACAAGGTGGATAGGCATTTTAAGGGGTTTGTTGATTTGAGTATGGACTCAATAATGTCAAGTAAGTAGAAGTATTCAAATAACTATATGCGTCTAACTACATTGGTTGTTAAAGGTGATTTGAGAGAGATTGATCTTAACTAATTTATTTAAAATTGAATCATTGTCTAATTTATCTCACGATAAACTAAGCGAGAAAACTAATCGACCTAGAACATGTTGTTGATGATTTGAAAATTGTTTGAATGACCGAAAGGTTATATTAGAGAACATAAATATTTTTTTTGGGACAGTTTTTGACAGGGCCATTTTGGCCTGAAAAGTTTCATTCTCGATTAAAACGGGCCAACTTGTAGGCAGGCACGGACCCAATGTGGGACTAGCCCCCACTGAAAATTTCATTTTATACCTTAATTTTTTTAGAATTTATGAAGATGCCTCTACTAAAATTATAATTTGCCCCCATTGGATTTTTTTTTTTTTTTATGCATTTTAAACTTTAAATTTATAAGAATTTATGAAAATTCCTCCACTAAAATTACAATTCGCCCCCCCTTCCTCACAAAATTTTATGGATCTATTACTGCTTGTGGAATTGGCATCTTTGCTACTAAGTTATGTTGTTTTTCAACCAAATTCCATCATTTAGTTTTAGGGTACTGAAATCGCGTTTGTAAGATTGTTGATTGATAAGAGATTTGTTAAAAGGTCTAAAATGATTTAAATTCTTTTGGTTTTTGGTATTTAGTATTTTTTAGTGATTTTTAATTTTTGTTAAAACGATTATTTATATGTTGGGATTTATTTATTATAAATAGTAACCAAATTATTTATCCTTCTGCTTTTCAACTAAATTCCATCATTTAGGACTCCAAAATTGCGATTTTAAGGTTGTTGATTGTTTTAGAGTTTTTGTTAAAGGTTTAAATTGATTTAAATTCTTTTATTTTTTTTTTTGGTATTGAGTAATTTTTAGGTTTTATTCATCCTTCATTAATAGAATATTAGAATAATTAGTTTCTCATGGATTCAAAGTCCCGCTTTTATTTTTGGTTTTGATCATATTTAGGTTCAACTTCGTCATCATTAAAACGTAATCGTGTATAAATTGATTAGCACATTTCAACAATTTATGATATAAGTCGTCTAGAGCAGGTGCAAGGAAAGTGAAACAAGATTGAAACTTGAAAAATTCACAATCACAATCACAATCTTGTCCACATCAACATCGTTTACTAAAACATCAAATTAAACTAAGTTAAAAGGTGAGCAAAAGTCAAACACTCCAAATGAATTGTCCGAGCGAGCCAGTGGACTAGTTTTAAAAGTCCCTTATTGACAACTACAAGTTCTATGTACACAGAATTTAGTCCACAACTCTTAAAAGACGACATATTGAATGGGTCAAACTCAGAGTCGGCCCGACTCTTAGGGCTACTTAGAATAGAAAGGCCCCTAAAAGTATTATTTTTTTTATTGTATTAAAATTTTTTTTAAATTTTTATTTCCTTTATTGGTTAGGCCTTAAAATTATTATTTTATTACTTTATTATACTTTTTTAAAAATTTATTTTCTTATATTATTAAGCCCCTAAAATTATTATTATTTTAATTGTTTTAAAATTATTATTTTAAAATACTAAAATATACACTTATGATTTGTAAATTTTTTTTTATCTACAGGCTTATTAATATACAAGGCCATATTACCAATGTGTAAAATTATTGTATATTTTACACAATCTTTTTAGACAGCCATATCAGCATATTTCCTTTCTTTTCCCTCTTTCTCATTCTATTAACGAATCAACTTTATATTAAGTAGGTTTGTAAAAATTATGTGGGGTCTAGATATGATACTAGTTGGTTGTTATTGCGGAATATATTTTTACACAAAAGGTATAAATAATCCAAAATTTTTATGTAAATATGTTATGACACATCAAATTTACAAAAAATATATTATATACACAATAATTGGAGATGCTCTAAGTTCCTAACAATTTTCTTTTCTTATATTATTAATTCCAGGTAACGGTAACTATTTCTATACTATAAGGCCCTAAAATTATTACTTCCTTACTGTATACTATTATTATTATTGTTATTATTTACAATATATATATATATATATTGTCGGGTTAACAATATATTATAGATTATTTTATTTTATTATATTATTATACTCATAGTAGCTAAAGAATTTGATTAATTCTAAAATTTTTATTTTTTTTTCTCCTCCCCTTCTTCCACGTTTCTATTGAATATATATTTAACTAATAGTTAAGCTAAAACAATTAACTAATAATTGTAAAAATTAATTTTTAATTAATTTAAAAATAATACAATAGTGAATAAAATATATTATTTATTTAGATTTGTGTTGTCCTACTCTCAAATAGTTTTATTTAATTAATATATTGAGAGATCACTTTTATAATTTTTACCTAAAACTTCAAATTATATTTGAGCCGCCAACGGAGACTCAAACTTAATCAAGTAATAGAGAAAGTAAATAATTTTTTTTAAAGGAGTGTCACTACCATTCAATTTAGACATGAATATTAATTTAACAGTTAGTTGAATATAAAATTCTTGACAATAATAGTTAAACTCTCGCATATAAACTAATTACAAAGTTAGATGAATATAAATATCTTAACAATAATAATATTTAAACTCTTGTATTATTAAAATTAAATAACAATGTTAGATCATTATAAATATCTTAACAATTATATTTAAACTCTTCTCTTAAAATTTAATAACAAGTGGAGGAATCATTGCCTCCGCCAATCAAAGCCGCTCCGCCTTCTGGCCATTGTCGTCTTCCTCCTCCTCGTCTAAAAAAGAATTGTAGATAACAGATTATAAATTAATTGAAACCGAAGCTTTGGCCTCCAGAAAATTGTCCTATAACAATATTGTGGGTGTATATATATATTTTTCCCGGAAAGTAACAATATTGTATATTGTTAACCCAAAAAGTTCAATATAACCCAACTCTGAGAATTGCAAGTTGTCATATGCTTCATGGCCTTTTTCTGTTTGTTATTCAATTTTCTTTTTTTGAACATACACAACCTCATTATTTTACCAAGAAGAGAAAAAAAATTGACCTCACACACACTGACACACACACACAGTGGGTAGATGTGAAATACCATTCATTTCAACACCTAATGTAGCTAGTAACTCGTAACTAGCACCGAACAATGACTTTTATTAAAGAAGGTTCAGTCTTCAGATTAAACAAACATGAAATGAAGACAACTAGCACTGTACAATATTATAACAAATATTAGGTCTATTTTCAATCCGCTCTCCTTCATGTTTCAACACCCCACCTAGCCACATAATGGCAAATAGTAACATATATAATACAGTAACACAGAACTATAAAGTGAACTAAAACTTAAAACTCAACAGAGTGAATCATCCTTTTGGTGCGCACGGTTTTTAAAATGCCTCTACACAGGTAAAAGTCATTCCTTGTCCGTGTGTAAGGCTGTAACTCGTGCGGGTTGGGCAAGCTTGGCACTCATCTCGAGCTAGACCCAGATAGAAAATCTTCAGTCCATGCCTAACCCGAGCCCGCCTTTAAGCCCGAGCCGAGCTGCCCAAGCCCGCACTAAGCCCACCTCAAAAGAATTTGTGTGTAAAAAATAAATCAATTAATGTTGCATTGACTTGAACCTAAAACCTTAAGCATAAATCACAAGCACACTACCAATTAGACTATTACACTCTTGTGACTTAAGTATAATTATAAATATATATAATATTTTCGGGCTTGGTTGGGCTTCAGGCTTCATCCATATCAATCCAAGCCTAGCCCGAATTGAATTCGGACTCAAAATATATAACTCAAGCCCAAACCAAAATTAAAAAAACATTGTCCAAGCTCACAAAATTTCGAGTTAGGCTCGGGTTTTTTCGGATTGTACCCGCCCGAGTTACAGCCCCACCCGTGTGTACAATAGCTAACGTAAAATAAAATTTCATTCAAAGTAGCAAAATATGCACAGGACTGAAATCTAAGAAACTATGCATCAAGAAAGCTACCCAATTAATGAAACTTTCACAATTCTAACATAATATTGTAAATAAGTATTTAATGGAAAAAAAAGCACCACGTAGCCTATGAACCTGGGATCCCCTCCTGTGGCGCATCCTATGTCATTACATTGCTTATGCAAGAACGTAAACCCCAAATATTGTAAACCACAAATTTCCAATGTAACACCTCACCAGGGCCTTTAGGATTACAATCATCGCCAATGGCTTCCAATGTGCATTCCAGGCACCAACTAGGGCAGTGACAAACTGACATTAGTGGGCAAATGGCATATGACTGACCCAAATCCGGAAAACCACGAGCAAAAATAATAATAAAAACACTGTACTCAAGCTCTGAAGATCACCGGGAAAAGTAGAGAAGCATCAAACAAGTATGCACCTTGGCTGTGAGACCTGAAAAACAATACATCTTTGCTCTCTAGAATTTTTATCAAGGCAGCAACCAAAGTAAGAACAAGAATAAGGAATATTAACATAACATTTTGATGACGCCCGGGAACTATGTAAATGAATTACATTTAACCTGTGAAATCTTCGGCCACAAAATCACGCTTATCTACAACAAAAATACTCAACGAAGAAAAACCTGTAAGAAGGAACTCTCTTTCTCATTTCAGTTCCTTTTTTTCTTTTTTCTTTTTTGCTCTTATTTACAATGATCTGCAAAGGCCTTCTTTACCATACTGAATGCAGCAACTGCAAGCAGCACTGTCACAACCTTCTTTGATGCTAACATCCTAAGATTCACCCTCATACCATGCTTTCTCATAAACCGCACTGCTGCTCCACATGATGTGACAAGCCAAGTAAAAATGCAACACACCACCACCTTCATGGTCTCTGTAGGTCCACACACGTTGCTCGGATCACTGGGAATCTCCACATAGGACCAAGTGGAACCAACATGATTGCTCTCGCCATGGTTCAGACCAAGAGTCTCATTAAGCCAGCCTGACAAATTGACGAGCAACTTTACAAGCCATGCAATCTCATCGTTGGCAATTGGCCGCTTCATCCAGTCACCCTTGTATTTTACATCAGCCGACTTATAATTGCCATCCCGTCTGGGCTTAAATAATTCATCTCTTGACTGCTGACACTGTCTTGCTTCTGGCATCACTGGCATTGGCTGGACAATTGGGCCACCATATAAGCAGCTCAGGCGAGCTTTCAGAGAATCTATACATTGTAGGTTGTCTGCAAGATTGTCACCGGAAATAGCTTGTAATTCGGACTCCGCACGCAAAACAAAGAGCTGCATCATAAAAATGTGGCCAACTTTATTTTAGATTGATGCATAAAATGTAAATTTTAGCAGATCAAAATCTTTGAAAAAAAAAAACCTGAAGCAGCTGTTGTCCACCATCTTCACTCTCACTAAAAAGTCGTAAATCTTTGTTCCAGTTCTCGTGCAAGAATGATCCATCAGCATCACTCTCACATAAGCCATCCTCCCAGTCCTGATAGTCATAAAGTAATACATGGAGGGTACATGTAAGTAATAACCAACAACCAGCCATAAGATATTTTATATCCAAAATCTATCAATAATTAAAATGCAGGACACACAGCAGTAAGAGTCAGTGAGCAGAGACAAACTACAAATCGTGCAACTTCGGAGAACCTATGGAACAAATGGAAATGACCATATGTTAGAAATTGTTTCTCGGTTTTTTATTATAGAAAGAAAACGATTAACTGAAAATGAGACACAACTAGAAGAGATTTCAGGAAGAGAGAAGAGAGCAGAGTATTATGAGTTGGAAAAGTGGAGAAAAAAGAAAGAGAATAATAAGAAAGACACAGGAAACAACCAACCACTTTTCAATGAAACAGAGGCATTACTAGCACAAAATGTGAGAATACTTTGACATGGTAAATGTTTGAAGTTCACTATAAAAGAAAAAATAAATTCCACATGAACACGTCCAGAGGAAAGAATTGTTTAATCTACTTGTCAATTGCTATATAGGAAAAACATAGAAAAGCCAGATACAGATGTGAAATTACCTGCAACTGTTCGCGAACTGTTGGAACAAATCTATATAAGCTATTAAGCATTGATTTGGATGATCCAGCAGGTTTAGAATGAAATACAGTGTCGACACTTTTCGCAAGGTCAAGCAACTCCCCGGATGATGTTAATATATCCAAAACCTGTAAAGCAAAACAGCCAGTAAAGATAGACGAAGCATTAGTTGACTCATAAGAGATACCATACTGTCAACTGTACATAACAGCTAATATACTAATATCATGTCTAAGCAAGCAAATTCTTCTCCTTGTCCTCTTCCTCCTTTTTAATTACATAGTGATTTCCCTGAAATTTCCTTCAATAAGTTAAAAAAGACTTTCAATAGCAATGACAAGGTGACAATAGAATTTTCTGGGAGATACGAAAAGTAAGGTTTCTTTTAGATTTTAGAAATATGTAAAAAAATGACGCTGGAACAAGTATTTCAACTTTTCCTTTTGATAAAAATGTCTCACATGGAATCGATGAAATGTTCTACACAAAACAAAATTTTCGTTGCCAGTAATCAAAATTTGCATTATGAATCATATATAAGCAAGCCTACACCCCAGTAGCAAGTTACTAAGTTTTTCAACTTAAGATGGTTTTTCACTATCCTTATATATAATTTGGCTGCAGGCAGGGACGGAGCCAGGATGTAAGGTAAGTGGGGCAAAAATGAATTTTGGGGGGCAATAGTGCATTTTTTTAGTAATTGTAGTGGGGACAAATGTAATATTTCATGAGTATATTACTGAAAATTAACAATTTATAATGGTAAAATACTATAAAAAAATAAAAAAAAAATCAGTGGGGGCAATTGCCCCCACACCCTTGAACGTGGATCCGTCCCTGGCTGCAGAAATAATTGATACAAGAATAGGGTGAAAATTTTCATTTATTGCAAAAACTTTGCACAACCAATCTCTATCCCAAAATTATTATTAGTTCATAGGCCAATAACCCACTGATAAAACCAACAATTGATATAAGTGGATGGTAAAACCCAAGATTTAAAGTATCAATAATAACAGCAGTTACTGCAATAGTAGGCCTCAACCCCATAGTTTTTGACATAGTATAGAACGAGGACGGTATTGATCATCAAATGGACACATGATCAGAATTTTAGTTCTCGAGTATACAGGGCTAAAGAAGGGGAATGCATCTTTTCACCTATAATAATGCCACCATGACAATCTTTCCGCTTATTCAAAATGTATTCATCAAACATTTTTCAATATAGAAGCCTAGAGGGCTAGATCAGGATAAGACCGACTAATTTTCGCAAAGGTAATTTTGGGTTCGTCCAGATTTGTCGAATGCAAGCCCAAGCTCATAAAAGTCCCTAGCTCAAAATGCATACGTGACATAGGCACACCATGGAATGAGCACGTAGCTTGAATAATCCACTTTAGTTGTATTTAAAAAATTACAGAGCTTGCGAAAAATTGGCTTGAACAAAGGACTTCATAAGGACTCATATATGTGAAAAGAGATGAGACACATAAAATGACATATAAAGATACAAATGCGAGGCTACACTACAACTGATGTTTCAAAGTTTGCTTGACTGAGGGCAAACAAGTGGAGCAATTAGTTTCTTCCCACAATGCCTTGGCCAGGGGAATTGTCAGGTTGTTAGCTTCGAGGCAATAATAGGCTAGAGACTATGTGCAAGCAATGCGCATCCCAGAATTCTCTTTCACCCAATGAAAGACAATATAACAAAAAGATAAAGAAGTACATAATAAAATGAAATAAAAATTCAGGATATACACAGTTGGGATTCAACCATCCCATATTCAAATAACTCTCCCTCTCTCAGAGAGCATTTGAGCGTGAGGTTGATTGCTACTACCACAACAAATAAAAGTAGCTTTCTGACATACACTAACTATCATCATCATCATCATCATCATCATCATCATTATTATTTGATAATAATACACATGTTGCAGTAGCAATCTGAACCGTGCACTTTCCCTTTGGAGCGGGGAAGTTTTCAAACTAACTGCTGGTGCCAGGTGGACTGAACCTGTCAGTCACGATCAGATTCACCTATTTAGGGTAGATAAATATGACTGCTCAACGTATTTATTTTAAATGTTTACTATTACTACAGGATGAAATGATCTCATTCAGGAGATGGTTGGAGTGGCACAAAATTGAAGATAAAATGAGAGAAAATCAGTTAAGATGGTTTGGAAATGTGCAAAGAAGACCTTTAAGTGTGTCAGAGAAAGTGGCATTGTCCACATTGAGGGTAATTTGGAGTATTAGGGAAAGAGGAAGACCAAAGTTAACGTGGGTAGAGTTAGTAAAGAGGGATATGATAGCATGTGAAATGACTTGACACTATGGCCTTAAATAGAGCGGAATAGAAACATAGGATTCATGTATCCGGCCCCAAGTAGTTGGGAAAAGGCTTGGTTGTTGTACTATTATGGTTGGATTTATATGGAAATATACACTTTTTTCATTTTCTAATTCTATTTGCATTTGATAGTGAAACAAACTTCATTACAAGTAGCCTTTCATTTATGATTTCTTTTCCAAAAATCTCATTATACGGACAAATTGGTTTTAGAAAAGTATTCCGGTAATCAGTTTGGTGCTATTGCTGTAACACGCTCTACATGACATGTCATGTGTGAAACATTGACGTACAAACTGCAAGACCACCTAGGTGCCTGACTATGAAAAAGGTCACCAACTAAATTTTTACTTTACAACTAGTTGATACAGGATAAAATCTAAGCCCAGAACAGGCATGGAATAGAAAATCTAACCATCTAAAAGGACTGGGTCAGCCAACACCAATTATCACTATTTTGCATATATACCAAACAGCGATCGAACATGCTTTCTTTACTGGATGAATACCCTATATAATTGAGCATGTAGTTCAATTATTATCCATAGAACAAGCATGTATATCTGGTCATTAGTGGTCTATTTGGTTGGAGGGAAGAGTGGGAGGAAGGAAAAAAATGTGTGTGTGGGTAGGGGTTTACTATTTGGTAGGAAGGGAAGGAGGATTGAGGAAACTAGAGAGGAGAAAAACATTTTGCCTGCAGGCCCATTATATACTTTCCACCCAAAGTAAGCGGAAAAAGGAGAGAAATGAAGGAAGCTAACCTTTTTCCTCTACCTTTTTACCTTCAGATAAAACCCTTCTATTAATGTGCAAAGCTATTAACAGTAAAAACAAGCACCATCCTTTTCCATATTCTTAGCATAAAGCAGGCAGAAAAGAGAAAGGAAGGAAACATTTTCTTTGCATTCTTACCCTTCAAAAAACACCCTTCCATTTATATGTAGGGCCATAATAGTAAAAATAAACACCAATCTTTTCCTTCATAACTCCTCACTTTCTTACTCAACCCAACAAAAAGCAGGAAATGGTGCTTTATTTCCCTAAGCATGACATTTCTATCCCTGGTTTGCCATTGTTTGTACCAAAAAGAGTATAGGATTCCAACTTTCTTTTGCCAAGCTAACACAATATTCTCATACTTTATTGTTTATGTGAGTTTCCATTCAAGGTTTGTAGAATGTGAATGATAATTACAAAATCAAACACTTAAACATGTGATTCTAGATCTTACGTAACTAAAAAATGTGAAGTGTGTGTTATGAAAACCCTTCTGATTTCTACTATGTGCCACAATCTTCCATTCATTTCTAATTTCTGAAGTATAAGGTTGCATCTCTAATCCAAGGTTTTAAACAACAATGTTATTGGTTGATCAGAATATAGAAAAGTTGCTGAAAAAAAAAAAAGTGAAAAATATTTAAATACCAAAATTTCCACAAAGTAATTCTTCATTAGTAGTATCAATAAAAACAACCCAATATTCGTCAAACCCTTCTTCTTCTTTTTTTCTTTCTAATATCTCAACAAAAATGTAACAAATGCTAATTGATTGATTGCTGTGAACCATTGACAAAAACATGGAATACGGAAACAACTACCATGCATGCCAATATGATTCCAAGAAAGTGTATAGGGACATGGCAATGTAATAAACATATAAATATATACATTACGTAACCATTTTATCATTTGCTAAGCTCAACTTCTAATTCATAACATTGAAATCTATGTGAGAAAGCTGAAGGTTAACATCATGATGTAGGACGTGATAGTGCTATGATACCAACTTGATGCAAAAACAGAAGAGATAGAGGAGATCAAGCATGGGTAAGAAGAATAATTTAGGGAAGAAATCTTTGTGATCAATAATCTTAATAATCATCAAAAAGTTAAAATACCTATTACATAATGGTCTTATTTATAAAAACCCAAATGCTCCGTTTGATAGGAGGGATGGAGGATGGAAGGAAGAGAGGGAGGGATAGATGAGGCATCTCTAGAAAGGGGAAGGTGTCTTCTTCACTTTTTTTGTTTGGTTGAATGAATGGGATAGTAGAAAGGATGGATGAGGTAATACCTTTTTCAGTTTAATTAGAAGGAAGGGAAGGAGACATTTTAATAACTTTGCTTCTCTTCCTTCCTCCCTTCCTCCCTTCCACCCACTTTTGGAGGGACTAAAATTTGTGGACCAGGAAGGATGGCTCATCCATCCTCTTGTCCCTTCCCTCCTTGTCTCCTCTCCACCAATCAAAGGAAGCTTGCTCCTGCCTTCCTATCTTCCCTCCACCCTCTTCCTTCCTTCCTACCAAACACAACATAAAATCTAAACATTTCAAAATAAAAATGAAAAATGTAATCTTAAATCTACCAAATCCCTAGTTCTATAAGTCTTTGCCGCTTCTCTTTATGCATCTTGAGAACATCTAATTTAATACACAAATTGCACCTCACATGATAAATCCTAGATCCAAGCAGTGAAAAGAGCCTTTAAACGAAGCTCAGCAGATTGATAGTGTGTGTAGAGGTTTCTAGATGATCCAAGAGCACATAAATAGATTAAAAGTAAAAGAAACCTATACAATCATCACAATCAATGAAAAAGAGTTAAAACACCATTGAATAACAGCCATGTGTGTCAGTGCATTTGTATATACATGTGTTCGTGTGTGTGTGCATATGCACATATTATCAGAAAATTGACCCCTATAATCAAAACAATATCCCAAGTATTCAATGCATTTCTAGAAAATCACATCTTCTAAGAAGCTTACTTTTTGGGATTTCATGCAATAGATCAAATAGTCTAGGAAAATTTGTAAGATATTGCTGATGATAGATCATTGTCATGATTCCAAAGTATGAGCCTAAATTTGTTGCCTACACTAAGTGACAGTTTGACTCAAAGTTATCTGTTCAATATGTCCAAGTCTCAAAGATAATGCCCTCCAACTCTCAAGAATATCACTCCCAGAATATATTTGCATAAACCATGGAGCAAGACAACATATGCACAGTGCATTTGGAGTCCAATAAATTATTTATTTATTTTTTAAGTGCATTCAGAGTCAAATTATAACAGTAACTAAAGAAAATGTGAGTGAGAAACGAACCTTCAATACCATCCGGACTATCACTTCTGCATCTGTATGAAGGAATTTGTGAGCAAATCCAATAAAATGCATAACCAATGAACTGTAGAACAGATAATTGGACAATACAAAGCTCTGCCAGGAAGACGAATATCTACGTGCTGCAGACTGAGTGCTGTCCTTTGTTGTATCTTGTGCAGACAAGCCTATCTGTGCATCCAGATCCGCAAAATCTTCCACACTGATATTCCAAGGTTCGATATAGCTAATCCAAAGGGAAAATACCTGAGATGTGTTCTTGACGGATGTCTCCACCGGGCAAAACAAAAACGTCCTCAATATGAACCTGTACAAAGGCCTCTGAATCCATGAGTTCCAAATACCAACAGATTGCACACCAGGTATTAGTGACATAGCATTCCTCGACTTTATAGCATCAGCTGACCCCAATAACCTCCACCTGGGACTCCCAGTATATTCAACCTGATCAGAAGCTTCTGTAGCTGCAATGGAACTCAAATTGAGATACTTCACAAAAACATTCACTACTTCTCCCAACCCAGAAGTCGGTGGAGTCTCACCCAGAACTGAACGAAAAGGAAAAGCTACCCCAAATGATTTGCATACGTTGACAGGTAGAGGTGAAAAATCATTATCAACCAGCCAGAAGTGTATCAGAGTAAAAACAAAGAACTCAGCTTGTTCAAGAATTATATTGTCATAGCTAGATGAATAATGGAGAAGTAAACTATGATTAGAGTGGCGCGCATTTGAATCATATATTGGCACAAATGCATGGAGATAAGCATAAAGAAGCCGTATATACAAACTACACTCATTTTTCTGCTCTGATCCACGCCTACTGCTCAAAAGCCCCGGAATTGAAGAAGCCCAATTCTCCAACCTAAATTTCCTACTTCTCCGAACCTTCACCACATCACAATTCTCACTATTCCCCCTACAAACAGGGTAATAAGCAAACCAGAACATGTAATACTCAAACACATTCAATTGAACCTGAAACGAAGAACCATTAGCCGAATCATCCTTAACCCTGCCTTTAAACAACGGACACATATCAGCCAAAACACGACAACCTCCCTCATTCTGAAGCATAAACCTAACCCATTCCGGCAATCTCTCAGATGGAAACACGTACTTAACCAGCGCAAGCCGATCAACGGCCAGAATCGAAGACATCAACACGTTATTCGGAGAGAGGAGGTTGAGAACCATACCTGAGAGCTTCGAATCGGAAGATACCGAGACGATATCGATCCACCCTTTGGGCGACTGCGTTGCCTGAGCTGGCGACTCGTCGAAGCCGAAGATTTTGCAAATTAGGGTTGGGAAAGTGATGGAGAAGAACCATCGCGTCTGGTCTGGGGTGTGCTTGTGGAGGAATGACTCGACCTCGGCGCACGCGGCTGCGATCTGCGGCGGAGATGAGGCGGCGAGGATCTTGGACGCGAGGTCGGAGGATTGGGTTTGGGAGTCCGTAGAATATGTGGAAGAGATCATTGTAGAAAGAGAAAGAGAGAGTAGGGTTTTAGAAGGATAGGGTATATTGTATATATAGATGTATGTATAGATTGGGAGAGAGAGAGGGTTAGGACAAAATTGAGGATCTGTTAGGGATTAGGGCACAGAAATGGGGAAGGGTTTTAAAGTTTTGAATGAAAGAGGAAACAAATGGCGCCCTTTTTAATGGAGGAAGGGTTTAGAGTTGACACGAAAGGAGATTACGTTACGTGGCGCTGTGTGGGGCTTGGAGTCTGTAATTTGCAAATTTTCTTTCGTGCGCGTCCTGCAAATGTTTTGATACCATCTTTTAACGCTATTATGTTCCTCTATTCTTTTTTAAAACAAATCATTCCACATGTCCCGTCCCATCCGCCAAGGCAACCCGACCCTTTTCTCCACCCTATTTGGTATCCTGTCAAATTTTATGTCCATTATAAGATAAGGTTTGATAATGTTTATTAAGGTTCAATGTCATGCATTATTAATATAATCAAATCCGATATTAGTCAAGTTAATATAAGCTCTTCTTTTTAAATATGAGGTTAGGCGTTTGAGTGCCACCTAAAACTCCTTTATTTATATGCAATAATTAGAATTATAATATCAAAAATCAGAGAAAAAATTAACCTATGGCGGACAATCAATTTTATTAAGAAAGGTTTGGGTTTTGAATTTTATTTTTTTTATTTATTTTTTTTCATATTTTATTAAACGTTGCCAATTGGGTAGTTTCAAACATATTTTAAATGAAATATGAAAGAAGTAGTTTTTTTTTTTTTCGGGCAAGTAATATGAAAGAAGTAGTTCAAATAAGATGATGAATTGCTTTAGTTTGAGTGTGTAAATGAATACAATTTCATTCGATGAAAAATTCGATGAAAATTTATATTACGTAAAAGAAAGTTCTCTAAAATTAAACTTTTTTATAATTTAAAAATATTAATAAAGTTTATCTATCTTTTCATTTCCTCAAAAAAAAAAAAATAATAATACTAAATAAATAAAATAAAAAATAAAAAAATAGTAATATCACTCATTCTCTTTTGTTGGGTGTGATACCCCTTAATTTCGGAACACGGGTTGATTAAATCCGCACACAAAATTAAGGGATATCAAAACAATTAAAGTATTTAAATAAACAAAGAATACAAAGATGAATAATAAATAATAAATAACTCGCTAAAGGAAATTTATTAAATAAAAATTTCATTAATAATTCTCCAAAATTTACAACTCGGGAATCCTGTAACTTAAGGACCCCTTAAATATAAATCCATTATCCAGAAGTTCATTATTAAATACTAATATCAAATGAAATAAAAATAATATCCTACTTTTAAATAAACCGAAAGAATTGATAAGTCCTCTAGTTGCAGATTTTCAACCTTGAGACTTTAACTTCTAATAACCTGAAAAATAAATCGCAGGTTAAACCCTACGAGCAAGCTCTCTCTACCAAGCCTCTGAAAACCAATAAACAAACCATCTATACCAAAATCAACCCTAATAAGGTTTTAACTTTAATGTACGAAGATACACGTATATATAAATACTTATATATATACAATAATCTTATCCATTAATAGGTTCATTAAATTGTAAAACCATTCATCAAAGATTAATAAATAATCCTACCCAAACCAATCCACCGATATATTTCTTTTAAAAAGAAACTCCTCCAACCTTAACTCCACCCCAGACAGTAACTTAATTAAACAACAAATTTTAAAATAAAATAATACCACATTTAATCCAAAACAAATAATAATTTCAATTATCTTTGTCACATAACTACTGTCTATGCTTTGACAATTAATCCATGTCTCTACTACTATTATTTTACTAATATAATAAAATAATAACCTATGAAGCACGGACACGCGTTGTAGGGCTGACGTACCAGTGTCGGACGCGTGTCCCAGCCACGGACACGCGTGTCCCAGCCTCGGACACGTGTCTGACACGGATCTACTGGTGTCTTATTTTTTTATTCATTTTTTCACACCGGACACACCATAAGACACGGCCGAGACACGCCGGAGGACACGGCTGTACACCGGAGGACACCAATGTAGGAAACGGCAGTTCAGATTAATAAAAAAAATGGAAGGGATGAGAGAGAAATTGGAAAGGAGAGGGAAAATCAACAAAGAGATGATGATGAACTGATCATGCTCTGTTTGGTCATTGATGGATGAGAAGGAAGATAGAAAGTTAAGAGAAGGAGGAGATGACGTCTAGCCAAGATTCCGATTCTGCTAGAGTCTCTCTCGTCTCGGTGCGAACAGATCTAACCAAAGGCTTGATTGCCTTTTTCTTCCTCTGTCGCTGAGTGGTTATTGATTAATAAAAAAGGAATACAATTTTGAAGAGAGAGAAATAGTCAATTTAACAGATCTAACAAAAGGCTTGATGGCCTTTTTCTTCCTCTACCAATGAATAAGTCACAAATGTTTACTACACAGGAACCGGTCAACGTGTATACATCACACGTCAATTGGTTTGGGACGTGAATAGTGGAAAAGCCCACCGCCAGGATACCGGTAGACGTATGGAAGGCTACACGTCGACTGGTTAAAGACTTGTACAGTGGAAATGCTCACTGCCAAGATACCGGTCGACGTGGTTATTGGTTAATAAAATAGAAAGATAAGATTGTAATCTTATCTTTCTGTATTTGGTTACAAAGTTAACCTTATTTTTTGTGTTTGGCTATAAAGTTAAAACTATTTAGTATTAATACAAATTCTAGTATTGGATATAAAGATATACTATGTATTTATTGTTTGAATTTTAATAGAATTTGAATTGGACTTAATTTAAATGAATCATGTCTATTAATGTAAATTAAAAATTAAGAGAAATTAAAATTTTACATATAATAAAAATATATATTATTATTTTATTACCGTATCCTTGCCGTGTCCGTGTATTATTTTTTTAAAATTTACCGTATCGCCATATCCGTGTCATATCGTACCCGTGTCCCGTGTTGGTGTCCTTGCTTCATAGATAATAACTAACATTTAGATACTAGACTATTCTAATAAGAATATCCAATCCTAATCAACCTATACGTACAACATCCATAGATGAATTTTAAATCATCTAACACGTAGCAATTTAGTTGTGCATTGGTAATTCAACCATGTCATTATAAATATACTTATTTATTTATTAGCAATTCAACCATGCATCCCTTAAGTTTATTTACTTATACCATTAATTAGCAATTCAACCATGCTTCCCATATATGAAATTTATTCATAACTAATAAGGTAATATATTACAGCCTTTGACAACTTATCCATGCCTACAATTCAACCATGTACTAATTTTAAACTTAACTATGAACTTAATCATACATAGATTTCACATGCATATTATAAGTATATCCTTAATTTAATAACCACTCTATTGTGGTTTTTAAATAAACCATACTATCTACAAATCAAGATATACCAAATAGGATTTATAATATTTAATAATCATAAATGATATATGCGCACACACGCACACACACACACATATATTTTATAATAAATATATATATGTGTGTGTGTATAATACATTCCATTCTAATCATTGATTATTTAAAATCATATATACATATATAAATATATATATATATAAATATATATATGTATATATATACACCTCTTTTCATGACAAAATATTTAATTAATTGTATTTACACCAATTAAATGCTACTAAGTATCTTAGTAACACTCTAAGGCTCTCAGAACACCAAGAACACACCATTTAATAGTTAATTTTAACCCTAACAAGCTTAAAATAAATTCTAGAAATTCACCGGACTCCTAAGAAACTTTTCGAGACGTCACACGCTTCCCCAAGCGCCTGCACGTGCCTCCAAATGCCCCCAACCTTGCTGCACGCGCCTCCACTCCTCGGCAGCTATCCTCACTATCTCTCACGCGCCTACACGCGCTGCACCATTGGCTGATGCTATTCACTGCAGTGTACTTAGCTGCACCGAATCATTTCTCCTCGATCAATACCTTAGATCTGTGGGCGCACCAATTCCCCATGTCTTGCGCTGCACTGGATCAATCCACCATCATCCACTTCACCCAACGGTCCAGATCAGCGTGTATATCAACATATTATACGCCGTAATGCATCGAATCAATCTATTATATATTTCAAATTCAATGCTCCAGATTCACATGCACACACTTTTTACATAGACCGCACCACACTGGAATCTTACCCTTTTGATGCACTACAAACCTCCAGCTCATATACATATAAACAATATATATATAAAAACTAATTTATACATATATAATTATATATTTATAATTCTAAAAATCCAAAAATTATTCTAAAAATATAAATCAGTCCAAAAAATTCTAGAAAAAAATCCAAAAGCTTAATTTATTAATTTTGGCCATAAATGAATATATATAATTATATTCTGATCAATTGAATCTAGTTAATCATGCTACACAAAGTTAAAACAAACTATAAAAATTTCAGAAATAAAGTTTAATTAACCTAACCTCACATACAATATTTAAATTATCAGAACAATTTATACATATATTCACATGTTTAAATCTATAATTTTTGTAAAGAATAAACATGCTCATCTAATCCGATTAATAATTTAATTCAATAAAATAAAATTATTATTTCAATAATCAAGATGATAACCTTAAGAGTTCTAAAAGGAGAAGTAGAGAAAAACTCGTCTGTTTCTTCCAACTCTGACGTCGCATTTGTCTGATCCAGCCTCGTCTTTATCCGCCCTTATTCTTCTTTCTCTAACTCCCTTATTTTTTTAACGTGGAAAACTCTTAACCCTAAAGTCTTATGTGTATATTTATGCACATTAAAACTCCAAATCATTTTCCAATTACGACTACTAAAAAAATAATAAAAATAACAATCTTTAAATAAGAAATATATACACACATATGTATTATATAGTATATATATATATTCCTTCCATAAATAATCATTAGTTAAATAATCATCTATACCTATATATATATATTTTATTTATATATTCCTACCATAATGATTATTGATTAATTATATTTATATACATATAATTATATCATACCATAATGATTATTGATTATATATATATATATATATATATATATATATATATATATATATATATAATTATAGAAAGATAAATCCTTTAAATATCTTTATAATCATGGACCTTTATGAACTAACCCAATAAGGTTTCATTTAAGCCCAAGACCACATCCATTGGTCTCGCTCCTCTTAAGCCAAAACTAATTAATTTAAATAATTAAAATAAGTAAATTAAACATATTAAATACAAATGGTTCACAATAAAATCATACAAATCAAATAAACAATTCACTCATTAGCATTCCACAAATCAAACACCATATAAATTTAACAAATAAAATTACAAAGTATAATATAATTAAAACAAGACAATTTATCTACGTACGTAATTAACTAAAACAAATCACAATTTATCTACACACTTAATTAAATAAAATAAATCATTTAAAAATAAAATAAAAGTAATTAATATTAATTAATAATTTCTTTAAAATATGGGGGTATTACATTGGGAATCTTGATATCGGAAAGTGGGATAAGGACAGCCCCATGGTTTATAGTATCGATCACGGTCTTAGTATCGATTGCAGTCGCGCTATTAGGAACTTGGACAAAGTTAATGTAAATTAATCGATACGAGTTACATATCGAATTTAAAAATAGTTCGCGTATCGACTGATATGTCGCGTATGAGACAATACAACAAACCATGCTTTGCACTCAATTTTTTTTCAAAATATATGCATCTTTTTGTTTGAAAAACACCTCTGGTGGTTTTCAATTTGTGCAGATTACACCCTTTTAATTAGATTTATTTATGTAAATCCCTACAAGATATAAAAATGTGCAATTAAACACCTCCGGCCAGAATTTCGGTGAAACTGGACGTAAGTTGGTCATCTGCCATGCATATGACTATTTTAAACTATTTATTCCGGAATTGCCCTTCTTATATTCTTTTATTACTCCTCACCATATATATATATATAACCCAAATATCTCTCTCCATCTCAGTCTCTCGCCTTTCTTCCTTCTTCCTCCTACAAACCCATTTGTATCTCTTACCCAATGCCTTCTGAGTTCTGAACCAGGTGGTTCGATATTAAATGAAGACCTCTTAATTCATATATATATACACTCCTTGTTTTTTTTATGATCACAATCTGTACCTCCAAATCAAGTACTAAACCTCATCCCAACTTCTACTTCGAGTGAGTTCTACTCAGTTTAATCAAATAAAAAAGTTGAAACTAAAAGAAATGTCAAGATAGACAAATACACGTTTACGAATGGATTTCATAGTGGGTTCGTGATTTCCATTATGATTGAAATCATAGTGGGTTCAATTGAGTGGTGGTAAGGGTGGTGAAAGTGATGGTGGTGGAAGTACGAAGTTGGTTTCTGGGTTAATTTCGGGATTGCTTCCGTGAACCCAATAAGAAGAAATTATGCGAATTGGGGAACCGAAACTCACCGGGTCACCAACGGGAGATTCCTTCTCAGTTTCCAACTCAGACCCAGAAATCTGCAGGCTCTGTTCTTATACTTCTTTAATTGGCTCTCTCTGTTCTTGTTCTTGCCATGGAAGTTTCTATCTCAAAGAAGTGGGTTTGACAGATTGCAGTCTCTGTTCGGCATAGCACCTCTAGTCGAAGAGATCGATTACATATGATACAGAGAAAGATTGTAATATTGATACAGAGAAAAAGTAGAGAGAGATAAATTGCAAAATTTGTATGAGGAAATTAGAGAAATTTTAATTACTAATCAACGAATTTTTCTAGCAGGCGAAGAAAGAGAGAAATCTGAGAAATCGTCGTTCACTCGATCGAGTTACTTCCTCTTCATCTTCAACGGTAAGTACCCTGGCATGCTTTGAACTCCAACAAAACAAACCCTAACTAAACTAAACTCTAAAAATTCTTGATCAATTGTAATATATATATATATATATATATATATATATATATAAAGCTATATATATGAACGACCATGGATGCTCTCTCATTCTCTCTAGAAGATTTGTGGTTTCTCTCTGAAAATCGAGATGATTACGATACTATTGTTTCCCACGATTTAAATTATGGAAATTGAGGTTCAATTAAAGAAAAGGTTTGGACAGATCTTCGCGATTAAAACTCAGTTCTATCTCATGATTCTGCCTTGATCAGTCTCCGATTTCATTGCTGAGATCTTCGCAAGTCTTCATGCTAAGGTTTAGCAAATCAAAATTCCAGAAAATAGAGGAAAGCTCTGTTTCCATGGCGACTCTGAAGCATCACCAGAAGAAATCATCACAACAAGGACAGAGCAAGCGATTCACAGGGTGTGTAAATATGCCCTTTGACAAAGAGTCTCTTTGTCTTTCCACATTTTATGTTATATTATTAGTTTTTTTAAATCATAGATAGAGGACTATTTTAATCTTTTTGTAACTTTCGTACCCATCAATGGCCGTCAACGCCCAAAATGCATTCATTTGCACTATTTTTAAACTATAATGGAGGTGAACAAGCAACGAGAGGTGATACACATTATATCCAAATCGTAAGAGTGTAAAGCGCACGCGAGCCTTGTCATATATTCCATTCAAGTTTTTCTTCTAAGTAATTTATGTATTTTGACCAGAATCAATCAATAATAATTCGAATTCAATTAAAATATATGCATCTTTTTATCATATGGTCCACGTTGTAGAACCATGGACCATATAGTAGTTTCAGACCCGATAAAATCGACAAAGGGAAGGGAACTCGTCAATCGACCGACCGACCGCCGTAGCCCTTGTCGGAACCCTGGCGTAGTGAGTATTATGTTTGCATATTCAGTCTCATTTTCCTTGTCTTCTTATAGTTCTTTTTCGTCATTAGAAGCCCTAATTTTCTATCTTTCATCATCATCTTCTTAGTACGTCTAGTTTGATCGACCTCGACACGTATGAATTTCTCATTTCAAAGTAATTGATGTCAACTTAATTAGATACATGGGTATGCATCTGCATATATGTTCGAAGTTACAAGTTTCAAATCTGAGTTTGGAGGGTCTACATAATTTACATATACGTAGATATATATGTGGGTAATTGATTGGTGGTTGTGATTTTTGAAGAACTTAAATACTGAGTCTACATGTCTTTACATATACGTAGATATATATGTGTTGCGCATTTGTATTATTGGAGTAACCCTTTTTGTTGATTCTACAGAATTATGCTGGGTATGTGATTAATTACAATTTCGGTACTAGTTTTCAAGAATGAAAGTGACTCATAATTTTGTAAAGATATATTTTTTTTTTATGCTGCTACTACAATTTAAACAAATTATATAGTTTTTCATGCTTGCATAGAATTTGTGCTTGATTGGCAATTTACGATTTTAATAACACTTGGTTATTCTCAGCAACAAAATCCAGTGAACTTTTGGTTTGTTTGTTGGCTGGTATGATACAATTTAAATTTCTTGATGTCCACTGTGTTAGTCATATGGGGTTTTAAACATGTTAATCTAAATTCTCTTATCTATACATTCAGTATTTATGTGCACTTGATTGGTTTTTGTTCATAATATTCATTGGTCTTTCCTTGATGGTAAGCTAAGGGAAGGAAACTTGATTGTTATCATTTGCAGTTGGAATTCTTGAGTAGAGGAAATGCATCCACCTTTAACGATACATAGGCATCCAATGTGTGCCGAAGTAAGTTATCTTGCTTCTCTCATGTTTTCTTTCATTCCTTGTATGTGTTTGATCATTTCATGCATATGAAACATTTTATGGCCTAAAGTTACATGATATGTAATAGCATTTTGTTAGTTGGTAGTTGTTACATAAATGCCCGAGTGTTGGTATGGCCTAAAGTTATACGATATGTAGAATTTGGTAGTTGTTAGTTATTACATGAACACCGAGCGTTGGTGTGGGCATGTGTCTAGTTAATAGATTTGTTTGATTTTCATATCTTATGATGTGTGAAAGCACTTGAATGTTGAAGTTTTCTTTTTCTTTTCCATTCTTATGATATTGTGTGAGGAATTGTATTTGTTCTCCTTGGAGTGGTGTTATCTGGTTTTTGCTTTTCCTCCTTGTTGGATTTTGGAAATGGGACTTCTCAATTTGTTTTTCTGTGAGGTGATGCCTTCCTGTAGTTTTGTAATTGTTTTTTTTGTTAATGAAAGTTTACTTAGGGAAAAAAAGGAAAGTTGTTGAGCCACGGTCTCGATTATGAGTACTACCTTCATTCTGACACCCAATTCAAACACTAGGAACATATTACGAAAATTTCCAGTGGAACCCTTGTTTTTGGTAAGTGGAAATGTTCAGTGTAACTTATACTCCGTAACAAATTAAGAAGATTCCTTCCTTTTCTACTGTAGGCATGGCAAACACATATCCCTGTCCATACTCAAGTTGTATAGTGTCCATGATACCATGTTGGTACTTCAAACAATTTGGAGTATCATTCATGTAATATTTGATTATTGCACACAATAATGCTAAGAGGTCGATTTTTTTATTCCTATCCTGTTCCTATCCTGGAGCAAAGAGGGTTGCCCCACGCTGCTAGGCATTTGCAAATCTGAGTGGTCAACTCTTTATGTAAAGAAGTCCTGAAAATTATTGAGTGAAAACTGGGGCGTTTTGAACAAAGATTTGGTCTTTGTAAAAATAACTGGTGGGCTCAACTTCAAAATGTTTGGATGAGAGTAGGGAGATGCAAGGGGAAGCTGATTTTGCAAATGCAATTTTCGACTACTAAAATGTGAAACTACGGGTTTGAGAGTTAGGGATGGCTATTTTTTGCAAACTATGCTAAAGTTAGGCATTTACCCTGCCTTCCACTCCCGGTAACCTCTGGGACCTAATGGCATTTTTATTTTTACATTTAGTGAATATGAGAAGCCAGATTAATCGTTGTATTTCACTGCCCTGGTAAAGAAATGCCAGGATGAAATCTGTGTGAACTGCCTTTTGCTTCAGAAACCACAAATTTCATTGTGATATAATTTGTTCTTGTTGGAGGAATTGCTTTTTTTGATGCAAGAAAGCAAGAAGTTGGCAAATGCTTTGATACACAAATTTTTCGATCTGCCTGCTTGCTGCAGATTATTGAGCAGTTCCAGAAGTGTCATTTGGATCATCCTATTGCAAAATTCTTTGGCGAATGCACTGACCTCAAGATAAAGCTTGACCGTTGTTTCCGGCAGGAAGTGAGTGTTTTTTTTGTTCACCTGGGTTTTTCTTTCTCTTTCTGATGTTAGAACGCTTCAATTATTTATTCCTTTTCTTTCACAGAAAGCTTTGAAGCGGAAGGCGAACTTTGAAGATAGTAAAAAACTGAAAGAGAGGCTTCGAGTTTACAGGAAGGAAAGTTCTGAGAGAAGAACTGAAGAAAAGAGCGTCATGCAAGCTTAATGATGAAGTAAGTTGGTGTTTGAAAATCATTCTTAAGTTAGAAGTTCACATAAAGACGTGCATCAAACCCAACAAAATTCAAGGATAGTGGGCAATGCATTAAAAATTATACTGCGACTATAGACCATGCAATATTTTTGGGATGCAACCAATTTCATGCTGCACTTTATTATTCTGTTGATATGTTCCCCACTATATTAATAAACTTGTGAGACATTTAACTTTTATAATTGTAAGCACGATTTAGTCACCAAGTAGATTTGAAATAACCAATTTTTGATGTGAGCTTTCTATAGTCGTGGGTGTTAGTTGCGAGCTTTCTCATACTCGGTTTTACTTTGTTTCTCATGCTGCACTTTATTATTCTGTTGATATGTTCCCCATTATATTAATAAACTTGTGAGACATTTAACTTTTATAATTGTAAGCACGATTTAGTCACCAAATAGATTTGAAATAACCAATTTTTGATGTGAGCTTTCTATAGTCGTGGGTGTTAGTTGCGAGCTTTCTCATACTTAGTTTTACTATGTTTCTCAGTTAGTTGATCCAGTCTCTGGAATGTGAACCTCATCAAGCAGTTGTTTAATCAACATGATTGTGAGCTCATTCTCAAAATTCCTTTCGAGTTCTGAGGGAAGAGCTGATAAACTTGCTTGGGGTTTTTCGAGTGATGGAGACTCTTTTAAGTAAAGAGAGCATATCGCTTGGACATGTCCAGAAAATAATGGAAGTTGCTTACTAGAAGCGGCTGCAGCAGTATTTCTTTTTCTCAGAATTTCTGGAAGAAGCTTTGGAAATTCAATGTTAAGCCAAAAATTAGACACTTTTTGTGGAGACTCTGCTATAACAGATTGCCTGTGGCTAAAACACTTTTTAAGAGAGGTGTTGTGTAAGACATGCCCCTACTAATGTCAGGAAATAGAAACTGGTGAACATTGTGCTATATTTGTGAGAGGGCAGTGAGTATGAAAACTTTCACCATTAAGATTGGATATCAGTTATTAAGAGGATTTTAAGATAGATAAGCTTGGTACTGTAGGTTTCGTCTCCTGGTACCTATGGAAAGTCAGGAACGGTGTGGTCGGAGTTGGGACATTGGCGTTGGGTAAGTATTTTATAGGCTGATTTTCAGAAAATGGCTGGTGGTAATATCCATAGCAGACAATTTGGTGCACGTACCATCCTCTTTAGTTCGGTGGTCTTGCTTTGATAGTGTTAAAGGAAATGTGGATGCAGCTGTTAATAGTAGTAGAACTGGAGAGGCTGGTGTGGTTTTTGTAATTGGAGATTCATGTGGGTGAGACCTTAAGGCAGCTGTGTCTTTCTTTCCATTTGTGTTGGATCCAGCTTCAGCCGAGGCCTTGGCTTTCGATATGCTTTTCTGTTCCTTGTTGAGCTTAATATTCAGGGAATTTCACTTGAGGGCGATGTGTCGGAGATTGTTAAAACTGTTGGATGGGCATCTAATAGAGCAAATATTCTGGAGGACATCTTCGAATTTGGGATTGAAGGAAATTGGCTTTCTTTTAATTCTAAATTCAAGCTGCCGATTCGGTACTTCTTCTAAACATGGCATAAGCAAATTGCTTTGTCTTGTGCATGCTCTGTACGTTTTGTTTACCACCTGTGACCTGCCACTGTCGTTGTCTTATGTGGTGCTACATATTGTACATTTTAGCTTTCAGTGATGATGAATCTTTTCTTGGCAGGAAAAAAAAAAAAAATGAAAATTTTGTTCATTGTTCAAACCAGGTTCGGGTTAGAAACTAGGTCGGGCCAAATTTAAAATTTGGATAATAATAACAATAATAAAAAAATCCCCATAGACAATCAGTTGCACGAATTGAACTACCAAATACTTTAAATTATATGCATTTTGTCTTATCCAAGTGAAAAGTTGAATGTGTAAGTTTTCATGGAAGTATAGTGGATATGTACAAATAGTTGCAACGATGGAATAAATAAATAAATAAAGAAAGAAAAAACAATCTTTTACACTATGAAACTTTAGCATACAAAACAACCATATCTAATTACCCAGGAAAAAAAAATAAAAATCAAGTGATAAACTCTGATTCTCTGTAAGTCATAAAACACAAATTATCTTCTTATTTTTATTTATTTATTAAGTAATAAATTATACTAATTATCACCCAGCTATTGATCCAAATGATATGATTTCTTTGTCCTAAAGCTGAGGTTTGGAGATTTTGGCAATGTAGTGGATGTGTTTGCTTGAAATTTCGATTATTTTATGTTATATATATATTTTTTAATATTAGAGTAATCAAAAAATTAGTTATGATTTCAAAGAGAACAATATCATGAGAAGAATTCATAGGAAAAGGGTTAGAAAAAGACCTGAATTGAATAGGAGTATAATGAATTGAGCTACCACGAGGTGGGCTGAGCCATTTGATAATTGTGTGCTACAAGTTTAACAAGTTTCTAAAAAGTGGGCCAGGCATAAGTCCTTTGGGACATGCTAATGGTCTCAAATTTACACTGCGAGAAAGCCTGCCATATTGGGCTCCATTTTTGACTCAGGAAGCCCAACACCGTGAGAAAAAAAGGCCTGTTGACTAGCCTCGAGAAATTATAAGCACCGGAACCATTGGTCCCGGATTAATTACTACTTCCTTTGTCTTATTTTAAATGTCGGTTTCGGATATTATGACTCACAATACATATTAAATATGGACTTCGGGAATTGGACTCACCGTGATTCATAATTCCCGAAGCCCACATTTAAAATGAGACGGAGGTAATACTTGATATGTAAGTAGATGTGTCAATGATCATGTAATAATTTTTCAAGTAACCTTACCGTGATTCACAATTCCCGAAGTCCACATCTAAAATGAGACGGAGGTAATACTTGATATGTAAGTAGATGTGTCAATGATCATGTAATAATTTTTCAAGTAGCCTTTACTCAAATGAATTGCCAAAATCAGATTTCACTCAAGAGGATGGATCACATTTATGGAAAACCAAATATTCTGAACTTTATCTCTTTTAGTGCTTGTCATCAAGTTCTTGATTCCTTTTAATAGCACGCCATACATTCTTTTTTCAATTATGAATAATATTCTAGTTTGTTTACAACCTCACACATATATAAACAAATATATATATAGACATATAGATAACTTCCCTATACTTGAAACCGTGGTTCTGTAGTCGAGGTATTGATTGTGATATCAGTCGCCAGTTGCGATTGTAGTGTAACGACGGTGTAACAGGTTCGGACGAATAATTGAATCGGTCGATTCATAGAGGTGTATAATGGTATTGATACGTCACGTATCGACCAATGCGCATTGAAACATAATTCAATAACACACACACACGCATATATATATATATATATACACACACACAGTTACACACACAGGCAAGTGAATGCTTATGCAGAAAATATTATCAAATACCCTTTTTTATTTGATGAGAGTTATACTATTGAAAATGCTATCCGATGCTTCTTTTGACGGCAACAGAATACAACATGTTCAATATAGTTAGAGGAGAGTTATAAGTTGCAATGTAAGTTTCTAGTTTACATTTTTTTTTCTGTTTCATGTCCTCATGTTCACATGTAACCTACATATTTTTGTACTATATATAAGACAAGACTTAATAATATGAGAGAGACTGATAGAGAGAGGTATAATGTAAAGAAGACGCTAAAGGGTGCATATATATATATATATATTGCACGCCAATAATTATATATCTACCATTACACAATGGTCCAAAATAATATCATATGGATCCATGTTCCGCAAAAGCATGCCTTTTCCGTAGATTGAGATAGATCTTACAGCTACAAAAATACATATTATGGTTACTCTATATATAGTGTCCTTGGCATGGGGTAAATATGATGCAGAAATTGGAATCCAAGGATGGATTATATAAAATCTTGCTTAAAATTAATAATTTATTTATTTTTTTTATTATTTTTTTCAGAATGGTTTTGACAATGTACATGTGCTATATTTGAATTAGAATAGAGATTGTTACACATGGACTTGGTAGTAGTACTTTTCTTTTTTGGGCAAAAAACCTTTTTTTTATTTTTTTTAGTACTACTTTTGATTATGAGTAAATGCTAGATCTTGTACATGCATTAACATCATCAATTGGCCAAAACTTCTATAATCAAAAGTATTATAACAATGTGCGTATAAAGTTTATATAGCTTGTCTTTCAAGTCTCAGCTTCTGGTTCTTTACCTTCTTGCTTTTCTTTTAGAACTTCTTCACCATTTCCTATGTTAGTAAATGACTTTTTCACCTTTCATTTTCATCATCTTGTTCTTCTTTATATATATATACATATATACATACGTATATATTTATTTTAATGTTTATTGCTTCACTCTTAGCAGATAGTCCAGTGGGCTAGTGTCTTCGGTTGACTTTGGAGTGCCAAGCTTTAACTCTCTCAATCTACTAATCTAACTTCTAACACTTTTTAACTTGAAAAAAAAAAATCTCTTTATCTATAATTTATTATTTTTAAATCACATATGATTCATATGAATAAAGTCCATGACTTAATACTTAATTTCCTCTTTAATTAAGAATGAAAAGTTATACCATATGAAGTTTTTTTTTTTTTTTTTTGACAAGATAAGAAGTGTTACATGTTAGATTATGTTAATAGGCGATCCTGATCCAAGTTCTGGGAGAAACTCTTATTCAACTGGACTATAAATTATATACTCATTAATTAAGTTATTTTATAATTAAATCATGGGAATTACTCTAGTAAAGGTAATAATATGTATGTATACGTCATAGTCCTTGTTTACGACCCTTTCCATTTTTAGTTGTCTTAATAGGTCAAACTCGAGGCCTCACCGTGACTATAGACAACTAAAAAACAAATTAAGGCCCTGATCTTTGACAACTAAAAAACAAATTTTCATTGAAATTACAACTGTGACTAATTTACAACTTGACTATGCATGTTCATATCGTGTGGTATTTCGGGTATAACTAATATTGTATATATAATTGTGCTGTTATTGTTCATATATATATTGTAGCTTATATAATCTCAACAAGTCTTTCTCTGTCACCCATACATTGGCCATCTTGATACACATGATCTTAAGGTTAGGTTCACAACACGTCCGGCCCATATATTTATTAATTTGAAGATGATACATTGTTGAATATTATGTATTTTATTGAGATTTTTCAACATTATTAAATTGACTATTAATCATATTCAACTCACGTTGCAACTTCTGATTGTTTGTTTCGTTTTGT